TACTTTCAAGTACTTTTGTGAAACTTCCACCAGTAGCTCCACCTTCTTGTTATAACACTTTTTTTTCTTGTAGAAACAACAAACTACTTTCTCGGATGAAATATGAAATATTCATCATATACAACAGCCCTACTTACTATAACCTTAGGTGATTTAGGATCATAACACCACAATCTATATCCTTTCATACCATTAGTATAACCAATAAATATGCTCTTCTTAGCCCTAGGCTTAAGCTTACCGTCATTCACATGACAATAAGCAGGGCAACCAAATATTTTTAGATCCGAATCAACAACAGTGGCACTGTATGGAAAACGATTAACCAAATAGCAAGCATTGCTGACAACCTCTGTCCAAAAATCCTTAAACAATCCTACATTAGAGAACATACAACATGTTGTCTCCAAAGAGTCTTATTCATCTTCTTTGCAACCCCATTTTATTGTGGAGTAAACCAAACAGTATGATGCCCGACAATGCCTTCATCTTTACAAAACTCATTAAACTTACCTTCACAAAATTTCAAACCATTATCTATTCTAAGACCCTTAGGTCTCTTGCCAGTATGTTTCTCAATCAAAATCTTCCGTTGCTTAAAAGTCACAAAAACATCATTTTTGCATTTCAAAAAATAAATCCAAACCTTTCTTGAATAATCATCAATAAAGGTCAAAAGATACCGAGTGCCATCCTTAGATGGAACATGAGAAGAACTCCAAAGGTTTGAATGAATATAATCAATTGTACCTTTAGTCTTGTGAATAGTTGTAGTGAACTTAACTTTGCATTGTTTCTTGAACACAATAATCACAGAAATTAAACTTTCCATTTTCTTGTTTGTCAAGCAAATCCTGTTTACACAAGACTTCCATAACCCTCTCGCTTTTGTTGCCCAAACACATTTCATAGCTAAGTAGTATTTGAATCTGAAATTTTTAAAGATGAAACACCAGTTGAACTAATCATAATATCACCCTAGAGAACATAGTGGTCATTAATCTTTTTACCTTTTAATTAAGCTAAGCGTTACACACCTCATAAATCCAAGAAAGATTCCTAGAACCAGAATACATATGCTCAAGACGCTCTCAAATACCCTTAATACGGAGATACAGTAGAAACTAAGATCAATCACCATACCTCATCAAAAAGATATCATTGTCATGGGGGTTCAATCTTTGAAGACATCTTTCTCTATTGCTCTCACGGCTTTAGGGTGAAAAGAGAAACTCAAATTTTCTTTGCTTCCGTACTGAGCTGGGGGAGAGGTTGATCACGTAATTCAAGCAAACTTTTTAGGTTGCGAAGATTACATCAACCATCAGGAGAATCAATACATTGATGATCAAAATTTTAGCGATGGATTCGTGAGTTCCTTCGTCTTTCAACAGTTGGGAGTCAATAGTCTTAACTCCTTATAACTAGGGAATCCTTCCAAACTTTCATAATTCCACCTTCAAAAGAAAACCTATAACCAATGGAATCCAAAGTACTCAAAGAAATCAAATTTTTGTTTAATTCTAGAATATGTTGTACATCTGTCAAAGTCTTTCAACTCCATCATGTGTCTTAATTCGGATAGTACCTGTTCCAATAGTCTTGTAAGCAATATTATTTCACATCAAGACTGAATCTCCATTGGTTGAGTCATATGTGGTAAACCAATCCTGATTAGGGCACGTATGATAGAAACAACTTGAATCAAGAATCCACTCATTAGAGCGCCCATTAGAGACAACAACTGTAAGGACACTGTTTGAACCATCAAATGTATCTCCTGCAACACTGGCAACACTCAAAGAATCAGAAGCATTTAATTTTTTTTGTCCCCTTTTATTTTTCAACTTAAAATAATCACGTTTGTACCAATTTTGTGACAGTAAAAATATTCAACATTATTGTGTTTCTTCATAGATTATGATCAATTTTTAAAATTTTTTTTCTTTTATTTGAATTTTTTTCAAATGGATCGACCTATAATATTATTAGAGGAACTATTATGACGACCTTTCACAAATAGATTGTCAGCCTAAGCATCACTGTCCTTACCGTTCAATTTAGTATGCAACTCTTTAGAATTTAAAATAGACTTCATATCAACAAAGGAGATAAAGTCTATTTCCATACAATATTGAATTAACAAAATTATCAAACGAATTAGGCAGTGAACATAAAGTAAATCGGAAGAATTTGATTTTTTTCTGCCCCCTTTTATTTTTCAACTTAAAATAATCACATTTGTACCAATTTTGTGACCGTAAAAATATTCAACATTTTTGTGTTTTTTCGTAGATTATGATCAATTTTTACAATTTTCTTTTCTTTTATTTGAATTTTTTTCAAACAGATCGACCTATAATATTATTAAAGGAACTATTATGACGGCCTTCGTTCAATTTAGTATGCAACTCTTTAGAATTTAAAATAGACTTCACATCAACAAAGGAGATAAAGTCTCTCTCCATACAATATTGAATCAACAAAATTATCAAACGAATTAGGCAGTGAACATAAAGTAATAAGGAAGAATCGGAAAATTTTGATTTTTTATGCCCCCATTTATTTTTCAACTTAAAATAATCACATGTTTACCAATTTTTGTGACCGTAAAAATATTCAATATTATTTTGTTTCTTCGTAGATTATGATTAATTTTCAAAATTTTCTTTTCTTTTATTTGAATTTTTTTCAAATGGATCGACCTATAATATTATTAGAGGAACTATTATGACGACCTTTCACAAATAGATTCTCATCTTAAGCATCACTATTCTTACCGTTCAATTTAGTATGCAACTTTTTAGAATTTAAAAAGGACTTCACATCAACAAAGGAGATAGAGTTTCTCTCCATACAACATTGAATTAACAAAATTATCAAACGAATCAGGCAGTGAACATAAAGCAATAAGGACTTGATCTTACTCCACAATTTTAATTTCAATATTTTTAAGTCTGTAATAATTTTGTTAAATTCATCAAGATGTTTAATAATTGACTTATCTTCCTTCATCTTGAGTGTATACAACTATTACTTCAGATACAAGCGATTGGCGAGAGATTTCTTCATATACAAACTCTCTAATTTTTTTTGAGATCTTTGGCTTTGTCTTTATCGACGACCTCATGAAGAATTTCATCAGTAATAGATAACTGAATTATAAAGTGCATCTTATCTTCAATATCAGTAACTTTACTATGATCTGTCTCCTTGGATAGAGATCCATCAATGACCTTTACCAAACGCCACTAATGAAGTAATGCCTTCATCTTAATTTGTCTTAACTGAAATTGTTCTGACCATCAAATTTTACTGTAGCCATCTCGAAATCAATAACTTTGATATCAGTTTGTTATGCACCGAAGTCACAAGTACAATAAAACGTAACAAAATAGAAAAAATAAAACACAAAAGATTTATGTGGTTCGGCTCAATAAGTAAAACCAATGTCCACGAACGCAACATAGTGACAAGAATTCACAATCAAAGGTCAGAGATTACAAGACTGTTCTTGACAACAAACAACAAGAGAACGTATTTGCTCTATCATTATTACAAAATTAGTAATGTCAAAAATCTTCTTCTCAATAAAATTGGTATTCCCAAATAAGACCCAAAACCAAAAATAGAGTAAAATCCTAAATTTCCAAATGAGATAATTTCTCTTCGTTGTCAATGTCAATTCTAAAGCACTTAACCTGTTGAAGACATTATTCCTTTGATAAAGCTATTGGCAGTAGTCATTAGAATCCTAGTCCATGTTGAACAATATCAAAAAAAGGACATAAAGTCCAAGAAGGACAAATTCCAACTAGAGTCTATGTCTTGCTTGAACACTCCTTGAGTTTGTTTTCATTACAAACTTCTGCCATAAGTCATTCTCCAAATAGAATTTCAATTTATTTCAATTAAATTGAAATTCAAATACAGGCCATAATTGACAATGAGAAATTAAAAGTAGTATTAATGAAGCTTTAACAAAACATGCACAAAAGAATAAGCAATAAAATTTCTACATTAGTAAAAAACCATGACATTGTTACAACTCCAAAACTCATGTATAATTGTCTATTTTTATGCTAAATTTCTCTATAATTCCTTGTAATGTACATAATGTAAAAGTATGAGAAAATCATCCTTTTCTTGTTGCAAAATTTAGATGAGATTATCTGGCATCTTGTTGAGAAATTGGTTCTTTGAAAAAGCATAAATGTTTTTGAGTTAGTATATATTATTATTTGCATTTCATCGTTATTTCTAGATTTTGAGCCAGTATGCAATTGTTTTAGAAAAGTGTATTAAATAATAGAGGTATTATCTTTGGTCAATGTATAATGGTGAAGAGATTTCACGTCTATTTTACTCAAAAATAAAACATATGTTTTATTAAGTAAAGCACGAGCGGACCACTAACCTACTGAAAGTAAAAGTGACTAGGACTATTATACTAATTTGCAAAAATCTAAAGGGGGCAATGTAATAAATTCAAGATAGTTATATTTCCATAACACTACAAATAGAGGGTGTATGGAAAGTTTCTTAAAAGTCAGTGAGGGCTAGTGGCTCCTCTCCTTTTGAGGTGGCTCCGCCACTGCTGCATTTGTCCTAAGATACATATTGAAATATGTATAGTCTAAGTTTCCGTACTCTGTCCATCTACGCCAACTAAATGTTATAAATGTCCTTTTGTGGACCCATTTGGTTGATTGACAGGGAATTCTGTTGTCAGTTTTTGTTGATTTCTAGAACAGCACATGGTCTTTTTGAAGTTTCATTTCCAGAATTTATAATTTAGGGTGGAAAACTACTTTCGTAGTTATCTACCTCGGATTATCATCATAGGTGGTGCATCATAATCATGCTTATGTAGTTGTTGTATATAGCTAATGCAAGATGCTTCAATTGCTTGTTACGATTTGAAAACTTATCTGTATTGTTGATCCATGTTTTAGATTGAGCTGACTCAGATTCTTTTCTGGTAGAGCCTACGCGTCATCATGAATGATGGGCTCCCAACCATACCTGCTGACTGCCTCCATGTGTAAGTTCCCATTTTGGTGTTATCTTTGTGTCTCTGTAATTGCATGCTTATCATAATTCTGGCTTACATTCTTTCAGAGTTGCAATTTCCATCCTTACTAAGCAGGTTGTGCTTACAAACATAATCATACAGGACTATGATGCTTACAATTAGATTATGGTGCTTAACTTTGATTTAAACCACATCCTCGATGAATTTCTATTTTCCATTGTCATCATCCATTCTTGTGTTGCATTTATAGAAGCAGGGTGCAAAGTATTGGCCGAGTCATATCCAACTCAGCCCCTTCTGATGCAATATCAATTCATGATACTTAAAATATCATGAGTCATGCATGAAATGGTGCTGACTCGGTTATGACTCAGCAATATCGGTAGAACTCAGAGTAGACTTGTTCGATTCGGCTGATTCGCAATGGACTTGAAACAATATGCTTGGAACTGTATGGGAGGTGAAGAAAAAGACAAAGAAAAAGGGATTGGTGGGAAAGAAAGTAAAACTTGAAGACCCAAATATTCAACCCTAAATCAATAAACCCACACAAAATCATTCAACCCTAAACAACATCAGATTTGCAATTCCTACAAAAAAGATGAAATCTGGCAAAAAATTCTGGAAGAATCAGTCAACAAAAGAACCACAAATTCGCAATCCCCTTTTCTTCTTCTACTTCTTCTTAGCAAAATAGTCGAGCAGCGAGCAATCCGAACTCATGCCTTATTCCAGTGATCGATGCGGTAATGAAGACGCTTTGTCTCATGTTCTTTCTCTCTCTCCCTCTCTCTTTCTGTCTCTTGTAGAAGAGTCAAAAGACTGTTGATGACAACCTTGAGAAAACTAAAATCCACTGTTTCAAGTTGGGTAGTTGATTTCATTAGTTTTGAGTAAATATTAAATGGTCGGTGCTGCATGGTGTTAAAAAAAATGATACTTATGATTACACCTATGTATATATATGTATTGGTTAAACATACACATGCAAATTTATAATGACTAGTCTACCTCAGATGAGAGGTTTAGTTTGAAAGGACTTTAGACAATTGAATGAAGTTTCCAAAACAAGCACGACCACTGTAAAGTGGTATTCCCAAGTAAACTGGAAATGACTTCGATGCGAAACCTTACTTAGAGGACATGAGTCTTTCTTGAGCTCTGTATGCTTAAATAATATATTGGATCTACTGATCTTTATCCTTCTTGTCTCTCTTCAGCTCTCCTCAGGCCCAAACCATAATTGATCTGATCTGTGCAGATGTATTGATGTTACTGGAGCCTACAGTTCTCAAAAGACCGAGTTGAATATAAGCTTGACAGCAATAGGCCTTTTATGGACTTCAACTGATTTTATTGCAAAGGGACTTCTTAATGTGTCTGCAGAGGAAAAGGAAATAGGTTCAGCTCTTCAGAAGATCAAGTAAACTAGTTTTTGCACTGAAGTTATACCCAAAGGTTTAATTTTTTTTTCTGTGCAACAACTTTACAGGAATTTTGGATTCCTCAAAGCAAAGAAATGGTGAAAGTAGAGAAGAACATGGCCTCAGAGTTGTTGATACAGTTACAGATCAAGCTCCCTTGGTGAATACTGTTAATCGTGACAAGTTGCTGTTTTCTGTTTTCTCATTACTTCATAATCTGGGAGCCGATGAGAGGCCAGAGGTAATGACTATAACTCTGAACTTTAGCAGCATTTTCTTTTGTCCAAATTTTAATGCTGCTTGGAAGTAAGTCCATAATTCTTAAATGTCTAAACATGCTGGTATACACATAATTCTCACTGTATAAAACGTTAAAATTTAAATAGGTAAGCTGATGTTTTTTGTAATAGATCTGAGTTATCTGACACTCACATACCTGATGGTTTGAGCATCTGTTGGCTTGATTGAACTTATCAAATTGAAATGTGACTTGAATGACAAGCTCTTCAAACAGATTTATGATGCCAAAAGCATCAACGTTCTTGTGTCATCTCATAGGCCTATGATAAGGTTCCCTCTTTGGAAGGGAAATAGTATCCATCTCTCAGTGTGTTGAGTGGTTGTATGCTCTTGATCAAGGCCTCTTACTAAGGACATGTGCCTGGTGCTTCTGGATTACTTTTAAGGTTCAAGTAAGACTAAATGGTTTCAAGATTAAACAAATATGTATCTTTTAACAGCCATGAGGGTAAAGAACCCTCAAAGAGACGAATGGGGAACTCAGAGGTGGGACATTAAGATTTGTGTGTATTGTACTTTAAATGTGATAGTTGGAAGCTTGACCTAGAACCAAGTGTATTGCTTGACAATATTTGATTTTATAATGTCTTAGACCTGTTTGTTGAATGTGCCCGAGAAAAAAGATTCATGTTGTTAACATGAAATTGAACATGTACAAAACCTTTTATTTATTACCACGAGTCTTTTACATTATCGGTTACTGTCCTATTGTTTCTCCAAGTCTGAAGGATATATGTGAAGATTAGATGGCCACTTATCCCCTCAGCATTTAAAGTGAAACCCGCTGGATTCAACTTTTTTTCTTTTAATGATTAGGCTTTTTAGAAGTTGTAACTGATAACTTCAGAATTATTGATCACCTTGGCCCTCTTTATATTGTGCCCATTCCCTCTACGCAAAACAGGGATATTAGTCTATTTGTCTTCTATATTACTATTGCTTATATTCTTATCTATATCTATAACACCATGAAATGAGGCATACGAGTATGTTTCTTGTTAGTGCAACTACTTGTGTTTGAAAAAAATTAGGTTGTGTGCTCATTTCCTTTGGCTGCATTAAGGGCTTTTTTTTTTAACTACGATGCCTAGGTTTCTGAATTTTCGAGATTTTTCTGCAATTTCAGTTGATAATGCTTGATCAATACATTTTATGATTTTAGTCTCACTTGACTTCTAGTGACCTAACATCTCACCTAAAGTGGAATGCTTTTGGTGGAGGTTGATTTCCAAATAAACAATTGGAATTTTAGTTTCATAAATTCAGCTGCCTACAGTTTTCTGTACCACATTACTACTAATACAGTGTCATGATTCTCCAATGTTGAATTTTCGGTCTTATTCATGCATCACAACTTTGAAGAGATGCTCCTGGTTGTAAGAGATGCTCTCAGCTGGTATATATATAATACAGTCATTAGATTCCCTGATCTTTCTACCAGCAATGATCGTGAATTTCATTGATAGTCTTTGTTTGAGTTATTTATTTTGGCTGTAATGTTTTTCTGCCATTCGCTCGCCTGGAAGAATTAGAGCCACGCACAAGAAGAAATTACAGAATGCATCACTGCTATGATGACAGTTAGGTACGAAAATCCTTTCAGCTATGATTGATGTATTCCCTCTTTAGGTTAGAAACTCGGCAGTGCGGACACTTTTTCAAATTCTTGGAAGTCATGGGCAAAAGCTTTCAAAGAATATGTGGGAGGATTGTCTTTGGAATTATGTTTTTTCTACATTGGATCGTGCATCCCACATGGTAAGCTTTAAATGTACACTCTGAGCTTCTCTGTCACCTTTTTCTTTATGTTGGTTTTGAATTTTCTGCTTCTAGGCTGCAACATCCTCAAAAGATGAATGGCAAGGGAAAGAACTTGGAACACGTGGAGGAAAAGCAGTTCATATGCTTATACATCATAGGTACGGAATTAAGTTTCCTTTATTCTGAACCCTACAAGTATTTTTGTCTTTTTTTGACCGTTTCTTACATTTAGTAGATCATGCATTCTCTATCACACGTTGAATGTCATTGCAGTCGTAACACAGCTCAGAAACAGTGGGATGAGACCCTTGTGCTTGTGCTTGGCGGAATAGCACGAATTCTGCGCTCTTTCTTTCCTTTCCTTCGAAGTTTAAACAATTTTTGGTCTGGTAAGTCAATTTTTTGTTATAGTTACTCTGCAAGGAACAGTACAGCTAAAAACATGGCGATGTTCTGTGTTGCAGCGTGGGAGTCTTTGCTTCTTTTCGTTAGAAACAGCATTTTCAATGGTAGTAAAGAGGTTGCTCTTGCTGCAATAAATTGCTTACAGTCCACTGTCATTTCTCATTCTCCCAAGGTATTCATTAGATTTTCTATATCAGAATCAGCGATTGGTTTTCAAACTAAATTATGGAGATTTATGAGAGTCTCTTATAATGCCTTCTATTACCAGTGTTATGATTTATCAGCACTTGCAAAAGATTAACTTCAAGTCACATGATTGTGTCAACCAGGGGAATTTGCCAACGTCTTACCTGAAATCGGTACTCGATGTTTATGAGCGTGTTCTTCAGAAGTCATCTAGCTACAGTGGCAATGCCACTACCAAGGTGCAGCAGGAGATTATACATGGTCTTGGTAATACATATTACATTGTGATAATTTAAATTTGTCTTTATCCATACACTACTTAGGGGATACACATGCTCTCCAGTCAAATCATGGAATGCTGGGGACTGAAATTATTTATATCCTCAGTCAAACAACGGTCTGATCTGGGAAACATGGTTAAATCCTCCTCAGTCAAACAATGGTCTGATCTAGGAGACACGGTTAAATGGTGTCTCTACTGACCTTTCAAGTAGCAGAACTCCATTCTAATCATAGTGTTATTTTTCTGCATCTATTCGTACTTTTGACAGGAGAATTGTATGTGCAAGCACGTGGAATGTTTGACAATGGCATGTATGCACAGTTGCTATCAGTCATAGATTCTGCAATCAAACAAACCATAATTACTGATAATAATTTTGAAGCTGAATATGTAAGTCCTTTCATTTCGTGGTTGCTCCTCCTCCCTTTTTTCTCGACTGTTCTTCATTTTATCATTTTGTGTACTAAAATACTGCACATTATTAATTTTTTTCTGCGAGCATGTCATGAAATTTAATGGACTAGGGATAAAGTGTCTTATGTATAAGGATTTTGCTTCAGAAGCAAACAGTATTGCCTCAGAACACAATTTGTTATTCTTATTGTGATGTAGTGACAACAAATAACAGGCTACCATGATGTTTTTTAAATGATGGAGGTACATTACCTTAATTGTATCTGAAATACTCGGCTTCACTTTTTCCCTGAAAACCAGATGTTTGTAAACATTAGCTTGTGATTTTCTCATTCACAATAGCAGGAGAAGCATTATAGTTGAATCTCTTGTTTTATGCAGTTTTTAAGTTCCAAAATTTTTGCCATTGTCAATTCATTGTGAAGCTGCAACAGTCTTCTTCTCAGATACAAGATCCAGCATGGAATTAAACTCATAAACATTGAGGAATTTTTTGGACTTTTTTTCCTGTGACCTTATTTTAGATGAGGAGACAAAAATTTTGGAGGATATATTAGAATCCGTAAATTGGTATGACTTCAGTTGTAGACGAGTTCTCTCCAATGAGATTCTGGTTGCCTTTCCATAGGGACATGTTCCACCCGTGCAACGTACTGCATTGGAAATCATTCCATTATTAGTTCCAGCGGAGCACCTTTCTGCAATGTGGATCTCCCTTCTCCAGGAACTTTTGCAGTATCTTCCAAGATCTGATTCTCCTTTGCAAACTGAGGGTGATGAAACCAAGCAAGCCAGCACTAGGGCCCATATTTCTGGTATGAACATGGTTTCTGTGCCAAATGCTTTCTTACCTGAAGATAAACCAAGTTTGATATCTTGATGCCATTTTCACAGAACCTAATAACATGGCTGAGGCCCCTAATGGAACTGCTGCTACATCGCCAAAGCAAGTAGAAGTTTCGTCCCTGAGCTCTGCATCAACTACAGCTGCTGTGGCCGGTGACTCAAATCATCTATTTGCAGAGAAGCTTGTGCCTGTGTTGGTAGATCTTTTCTTGCAGGTTCCTTCTGTAGAAAAGTATAATATTTTTCCTGAGATTGTTCAAGGTCTTGGAAGGTGAGAATTGATACAGGTTCTGTTACTAAATGACCATATTGTAATTCAAAAGGACTATTAATCAAGTGGAAAAATGGTACTGAGCTTCAATACTGTTAGTTTTGCATGTTATTGGGGGTAGTATAGTCGTTTACTTCATTTTATGTACTATATAGGGGTCTTTATTGTGCATCTTATGTTATGTGGTTATACAGACTATTGAGCAGTAACAACATTTTATTTTCTAATTCTCTTTTCTCTTCATTCTTTTTGCATTTTGTAATCAATCTTAACATGGTATCAAAGCATGTTATGATCCTAACATGATTTGCAACACAGCATTAGTCTTCAGAATGGAAAAAAAATATCGTAGTTTGAAGAGGGCTGACATTATCATTGGTTAGGATGACATCCTCAACCAGAACACAAATGAGGCGCCTCCTAGATTGATTCTTTGTGGGCTACAACAGGGGATTATTTCATTTTTTATTTTGTGACCTTTTGATTTGGTTTCTTGTTTTTTGGATATTTTTCAAGTTATAGATCTGAAAAATTCGATCTAAGGTTTCTATGAGGTTTTCGATCTAAGATTTCTATGAGTTTTTGAATTTTTTTGCCTCAAATCGACTATACCAAATGCGATTTGGTTTTCTTGGGGCTCAATTGGAAGATTCAAGTTCCTTGAACTGGTTTTTGCCGAGATTTGGTTCCCTCTTCACTGTTAATAGGGTTTCTTTAGTTTGGGTTCTTCAGCTTTGATGTTTTTGCTGGGCTCTTTGATTTTCCAATTGTTCTTTGTTTCTTGCTGATTCTCTTGGTCATTGCTGGTGTAGATTGTTGGTGGTGTGAGGAGTCTTTGTCGCAACTCTTGGACATTAGGAGTTCTTGTCACAGCTCTCGGTTGTTGGTCCTAGTGTTGGACAATGGGTTACTTCTCTTGTTGCTGAATATTGATACTTGAATTGGGTGGTGGGCTTAAATCATTAGACCTGAAATTTTGATGAAATTTCTGCCTCTAATCTGTCCTAAACGTTTGCTGGTTTCTGTGATTGTGTTGCTTGAAGACTGTCGTTACTCGTGTTGTGTTGCTGGAAGGCTTTTGTTTGGTGATTGTGGGTTTTTGTTGTGTTGGGTCTGCTTTGTATTGTGGGGTTTATATTGAGCTGCTTTCTTGCTTCCAACAATTTGCATTGGGCTAGTTTCTGGCTGCCACCAGTTTGATTTGGGCTTCACAACTTGCCGGTTTTAATCCTCACCAGTTAGGACTGATTGATACCCAAATATTTGTGGATTTTACTGGTTATTGGCTTTGGTATTAATTGAATTTTCTCAGGTTTGGTTTAGGTGATTTGATTGTTTTTATTCCACTTTCTTTTGTTCCAATTATGGCAAGTGAAGACTTTGACTCTATTCAGGCCATCAATGTGAAATCAACTGTGATTAATGATCAATTGCAGATGCTTCTCTCATTTTAACTGCAGAATACTCTATCAATCTCTCCTTCCATACATTCGTTCACTTTAGTTTTTTTGATATATTTCGAACCAACTCGGGGGCTGCACATCACATGATCAGTAATTCTTTTTTATTTGCATATACCTTCTCTTCTCTATCTGTTTGGGTACTTGAGCCAATGGTACATTTGGCCGGTGTTGGGTCTATTATTTCTCCGCATCTAACACTTCCTAATATTTATTATATTCGGCGATTTACCTTAAATTTGATCTCAATTAGTAAGCTGTTTGACTCTGAATTTTCATTTTACTTTTCTTCTTCTAGTTGTGTTGTGTAGGATACACGTTCCAAGAATCTGGTTGGGACAGACAATAGAAAGGGAGGGTTGCATGTCTTGGACAAATAGCATGTTTTCATTATTGATGTTTTTATTGTTTTGTCTTTTTTTTATTTGAGTCCATAGTTTTCTAGTTTTTATTTGTGGATTCTGTTAGAATAGTTAGCATATTTAGACTTAGGGGTAACTTAGTCATTTTTTTTCTTTTATGTTGTCCTAGTTTAGTCTGTTTGTTTTCTTTTTACCCTACTTTATAAAAATCTCTTATATGTAGTTTTCCTTTAAGGTTGTTTTGGTTTATTGTGCCACAATAATATTCTCTTCTTCTTTCACTAACTTTTCTATAATTGATCAAAGTTAATATGGTATCAGATTATGTTTCAATTCCATGATTAGAGCAACCCAATTTTCTCCGTCCAAGATTTGAAACCTTGGAGTTCTGATTCATCACGTAGTTGTTCTTTGCTCTGGGTTGCTGGGTCTTTTATGTTGGGATCTGCTGTGTGGGTTGCTATTTTTTGTGGTTCTAAAGGTTATGAACAGTACTGAAAATACTGTTCACGCGGTGAACAGTGCCAAAATTACTGTTCACAGTCTATGAACAGTGCCGAAGTTACTGATCATACGCTGTGAACAGTACCGAAATTCTTGTTCATGTGAATAGTGCCGAATTTTGATTTTTTGTTGTATTGTTGTGTAAAAAACCTCAATTTGTTATGGGTATTTGATTTGTAAAGTTGTTGAGTTGATTTGTGGTGAACTTTGAATTGTTTGGCGTTTGCCGCTTCTTTTGGTTCTAATTTTTGTTCTTGGCTTTTGCTGGTTGGTTTCTGTTCTGGGGAGGTCTCTCTTGACTTTGCTGGTGCCTTCTTCCTTCTGTTTTTTGATTGGATTTGCGTTCCCCTGTGTGTCGGCTAGCTGTTTTCATGCTTTCGTTGCTAAGTCTTCCTCGCTGAGCCAATTGTTGCATATATTGCTAGTTCTGGTTGTTGCATTTGTTGCCTCTTCTCTTCTGCTGGTGCTTCTCGTTGCAAGGTAAGAAATCCTAATTACTAGGGTTTGTTGATTTTGGCTACTGTTGGTTTGGGGCTAGTTTTAGTTTGACTTTTCTTCTTTTCTTTGTTGGGTTTTGTTTTGTTAAGCATTGTTGCTGGTGGTTTTTGTTAGGCTTTGCTTTTCTGTTAGGCCCTTATTTGCTCTTTGGGTGTTGGGTTGTTAGCTTGCTGAATTTTGATTGTTAGATTTTGCTGAAAATTACTACTATGGGCCACTGTTTTGCTTTGGGCTACTGGATTTTGCTTGGTTATTGGTTGTTTGTTTACTTTAATATTTGTTTTGGATTGCTTGATTTGGGTATTATGGCCGGTGAAAATTTTGATTCTCTTCAAGCTATCAGTCTCAGATTAAAAGGTGAGAACTATGTATATTGAGCTTATGTTATGAAAATTTTCTTGTTGGGTAAGGAAATGTGGAGTTATGTTAGTGGTGATTTGTCAGTTCCAACAGATTCTAAGGTCGAGAAATATGTTGACTTAAAGAATCCTTGGAAAATTAACAACGCTAAAATCATCACTTGGATTAACAACTTAGTTGATCAGACCATTGGTGTTCATTTGACTAAGTTTAATACAACTAAGGAGATTAGGGATTATTTAGCTACCTTATTTGTTCAGTCCAATTTTGCAAAGAGATATCTGCTAGAGTATGAAATTCGAGTTGCATGCCAAGGTGACAAGAACATCCAGGAGTTCTACTCACTTATGACTGGATATTGGGATCAGTTAACACTTGTTGAACTGAGTACTCATGTGATATATCGCACTTTTATAGAGGAGCAAAGGTTGGTGCATTTTTTGATGGCCCTCAGGGATGACTTTGAGAGACTTTTGTGGTTCTATTCTCCATCGTAATCCACTTTCCTCAGTTGATGCAGTAGCGAATGAGCTTCTGGCTGAAGAAGTTCGTCTTAAGACTCTTTCTGGGAAAGGTCTTATTCCATTGCCTACTCAGACTGTATTGGCTGTGTCTCCTACGGTGACTTCTAATTCACAAAATAAATATCGGGGTCGTGTAGTTTCAGATGAATTTAGCTTTTGTAATGAGAAGGACCACTGGAAGGCTCAATGCCCTAAACTGATGAACAAAAATGCAAAGGGGACAGCAAATCAGTCATTTCAGGCTTAAGATCGTTATTTAGCAGCAGTTGCAACACCGGTGGATGAGTCCTCCTCATAGGCACCCAGCCTAACTATGTTTATTGATCAGTTGTAGAAGTTAATCTCTCTCCATCAACCTGGTGCACTTATAGTATCTCCTTCAGTAGGTTCATTTACCTCAGGTCCTTTAGGATTCACAGTCCAACAAGCTCATTGGGACAGGCCGTAGAAAGGGAGGATTGTATGCAGCTAGCAGATTTCTTCACAAAGTCGCATCCTATCACTCGCTTTCGTTTTCTTCTTGGAAAACTCTTGATGTTTTTTGCTACCACATCACGAGTTTGACGGAGGGTGTTAGAGTAGTTAGCATATTTAGACTTGAGGGTAACTTAGTCATTTGTTTTCTTTTATGTTACCTTAGCTTAATCTGATTGTTTTCCTTTTGCCCTATTATATAAAGACCTCTTATATGTAGTTTTCCTTTAAGGTTGTTCTGGCTTATTGTGCCTCAATAATATTCTCTTATTTTTTTTCTTACTTTTCTATAATTGATCAAAGTTAATAGATTCTAGTTTGAAATTTTTAACTTCTGCTAGTAGTTTGGGTAACTTAGAGTATCATGATTCATGACATTTCCAGTTGTAACGGATGCGAGTTAGCTAAATTTTGAATAAAAAATTCTACTATCTCTTTTGCACTGTTTGATCTAGTTTTATTCTGATGTATGGGAACCAACTTAGTTATGATTCGATATGAACTTTTGGCAGCACCTCTTTTTGCAAGTGTATGATTCGATATGAACTTTTGGACTATTGATAGAATCTAGTGTTTAGTGCTTCTTGAAATTTGATCTTTTAATCCTCTAAGGTTTACCCCCTGTGCTGTTTATATTTTGATAATGAGAACAAACCTCTCACTCTCTTTCTTGTACTTTTGGTAGGTGTATGAGGACAAGAAGAGACAGTCCTGATGCCGCACTTTGGAGATTAGCTGTTGAAGGCTTCAACCGCATTATTGTTGATGATACTTGCAAATTAGCAGCGAACTATGGCATAGATCCTAGTATTAGTAGACTTGCAAGAATACGTATTTGGAAAGAAATTGCAGATGTTTACGAAATATTCCTAGTAGGCTACTGCGGCCGTGCTCTACCTTCTAATTCTCTCTCAGCGTTGGAACTTAAGGCTGATGAGTCTCTTGAGATGAGTATTCTAGACATTCTCGGTGACAAGATTCTCAAGTCCCAGATTGATGCGCCTCTTGATGTAATTTTCCTGCTAGCACATATTTTGTTACATATATGCTTTGATATAAAGACTTCTGATTGATAGGTTCGTGTAGGAATTGACCTTGATTAATACTATTAATTAAGATGTTTTCTTAAAACTAATCGTTTTCACAATGATTGGTCTAAGATATTATGAGAAAAACAGAAGTAGTTAACATTGTAACCAATCATGCAGATAATTTTTACCCCCTCCGTCCCTAAAATATTGTCCTCTATGATTTTTAAGAAACGAGTCGTCCTTTTTCGCTTTGCATGTTGTTTTAGGAATTGCTATCAAATACGGTTCTTGAACCATGCCACTATTTCCAATTTACCCCTTCCACTTAATGTTTTCCGAATTGGAACCATGTACTTCTCAAAGCGAATTAATCAATTCCTTCTACCTAGTTAAAGCTTGTTGAAGAGCCATCTACTCTAAAAGTTTAAGCTAGTTTAGAGGGTATAACTTAAGTATTTATACTTCAACATGTTCTATCATATACAGGATAAAATTTGTATCTAGCATGTGAAAATCTTTTTAGTTGTCGAGGTGACGTTGAGATTTGAACATAGGAACTCCTTCTATGAAATGATGTTGAAGCATTTTAATATTTTGCTTTGAGCAGACTGTTTCACTCAAGATACCACTTTACTACTCTGTCACCCTCAATCCTCAGTCCCACTCAAGCTTTGACGCATGTTAAAAGACCATCTACTCAAAGTGTAAGCTGGTGGAGAGAGTATAACTTACGTATTTGTACTTCTACAAAACTAACGGAAAAAGCCTGACGAATTGAAGTTGAGGGGGTAAATAGAACTAAGTGTTGGAATTTTCCATTTGTTGAGCCAGGAAAATTGAGACAGAACAAAGTTGAAGATAAAAATAGACAATGTGCATCAAAATTTAGGGGACACCTATATTATAATCAGTGTATTAAATGGTCCAGTATAACCTTAGTTGTGAGTGGTCTTGGAAAATAGATCACTTGTAACATTTTTTTCTAAAAAGAGTTGTTCAGAAACATAGCATTATATATCCCCCTAACTTTTCAAAGTTGACAATATATTGTGCTACATCAAGATAGGAAATGAGGATTACTTTCCATGGATAGAGGGTGTTAAAATTTTTAGCAGACTGTTTATTTGGTGCATCCAGCGTTACAGCTTATTTCCCTTTTTTAAGTTAATACAACTTGTGCTCCTAGGTTAGGCATATAGCATTATTTCCACCAACTTCTGAATATGTTCATTTATGTTGATATACTTGTATATTCTATTTGGTTCCTCACTGTAAGTTTGTCTTTGGTATAAGTGTACCATATGTTGCTTTTTTCTGCCTGAACAATTACGCTTTAAACTACCAAGCTTCTGGAACTGGACGCTAAAGATATATACAACTAATGTCGGTTTTCACAGATTCTGCAACGACTAGTTACCACCCTTGACCGCTGTGCATCAAGGACATGCTCTTTGCCTATTGAGACCGTGGAGCTTATGCCTTCACACTGTAGCAGATTCTCCTTGACTTGCTTGCATAAGTTATTTTCCTTGAGCAGGTATTCTCGTGTATGGTGATCCCACACTTTGCACGCCATCTTAAAAGACACAGGACACCTATTACAGTCAAGAAAAGAAAAATATAATATGGAGCATTGTCAAGGGCGGAGCTAGAAAATTATGGTAGTGGGGACAAACTTTAAGAATAATATTATAATAACTCAAACTAATAATAAATACAAACACTTGGGTACAACAAAAAAAATTGTAGTACTTCAATTTTTTTTTACTTGTTTTGTTTTTTCTTTGATGAACTTGTTCTGTTCTTTAATTGTATGCAAATCTGCATGTATAGAAGGGTATTTCATAAGCAAAACCACATAAATAAGTTTACTCTAGAGTGATCAAATGTGTTTTTAATTTTATGATGAAATTAATTTTTTTACTTATCAAACGGTAGCTCAAATAATAATTTGTAAGTTAAAATTCTTCCAGACTAGTTTTTTATAGTTTGAAAACATTGCCTGCGAATGTTATTTCAATTCCATTAAAGATGTTTCTTCCAATATACTAAAATTAACAGTTACAAGAAAGAGGGGGTAAAATGTATGGAGACACTCAGAGTATTCTTTAAAATCATATTATGTGGATTCAACTAACTAAATAAATATTAATTAAGTTTACTTATTGCAAGCTTAGGGACTAAATCTAATTGTGAGAGATGACTAAAAGGACTAGGTACATGATAACTTTTTTGAGGGGACAAATTTAAAAATACGTTTTTTTTTTTGGTCAGTAATTTAAAAATATGTTGGAGCAAAAACCACCTTTGCACAAAAAAATTGAGTGGGGGCAGTTCACTGTGTGGCTCCGCTCCTGAGCACCTTTCTGCTGTTTTTTTTTTGTATCATTTTCTGTACTTCATTCTAATGATAAACTACAAATTGATCAAATTGCTTATATGTTGGGCATTGTTAGTCTGATCAGTCACACTTATACTTCTTTAAATTTTTGACAAATAAATAGCATTTCAGTCATCTTTCTGTTCATAGGAACTGAAAGCCAGCATAGATCATGTCAGAGTAGGTGACTTTTTGTTGATAAGAAGCATAGAATAACCTTTAAAATGATGTTAAAGGAGAGTCAGTTAGCATCAACTGCTTATCTGTACTGCTGCTATCTGCTAAATGAGTTCACTATCCCCTCAGGCATTTCCTTATTGACTTACATGTCAGCTATTGTCCATGTAATCTAGTTGTTTATGAACCGATGTTGAATTTTTTATATTGTACTTTTCATCCCTCCAGGCATTTCCTTATTGACGTACATGTCAGTTATTGTCCATGTATTCTAGTTGCCTAGGAACCAATGTTGAATTTTTGATATTGTGCTTTTTATAAACTTTTTATGCTTATTACTGAATTTTATATAATGTCCTCAGTTTCAGCAATGAAGATGGTGATTGGAATATGACCAGATCTGAAGTTAGCAAAACCTCAACCATGATACTAGTGAGCAGATGTGAATATATATTAAAGAAATTTTTATCCGATGAGATTGACTTAGGTGCGCGACTTCACCAATTTAATGGGTGTTGTCAAAGAAAGTTTGGGTTCTTAGTGTTTCTTTTGTCAATGGAGTAATTCTGATCCAACTCTATATGCAGGTGAATGTCCATTACCACCAGCAAGAGTGGAAGAAATTATTTTTGTCCTCCAAGAGCTAGCGCATCTTGTAATTCATTTGGACACAGCATCGGTTCTTCCTTTGCATCCTCACTTAATGGGAGGTATTTTAGAGGAGAATCGGGGACGGCGTTCACATTTGCTTGTTTTATTTCCATCCTTTTGTGAGCTTGTTATATCAAGGTAAGAGAATCAACTTTGATTGTGTGAAAAATTAGGCATTGATGTATTGAGCATACATATCGTGTTTGGATTGACATTTAATGTAATCCTGTTGTTATGTGTACGGTTATAACATTCAACATGAAAACATATCCAGTGTCTCACCTAGACTGAGTTTAACATTTTTCATATTCATTAGAGTTGAAGTAATATATGATAGAAAGTACACTTAAAAAAATCCTTGTGGTATATGACACCGACCCCCAACCCCCAAAAGAAACAAGCAATAAAGAGTTGTTAACCAAAGAGACCATATAATTGCATTATTCTTATGAAGTAGGCACCCGGATATGACATGACACATACACACCGACAAGGATAGTCAGATACATTCTTAAGGTGGACATGTCAATAGCTTATATACTTCCTATATAATGTAAATCATATACAGTGAATATTCTTAGGTTAAATGTCTAACTTGATATCTTTCTCATATGTGCATGTGAAACTTGAGTCTTATGAGACAAAATAATCAGCAACATCCTTTATCTTTTGTTATAATGAAAAAAGTGATATGGTTTCCCTTTACAATTAGACTTTTGCATGATTAAAGAATGTTATATCTTGACAACAAATGTTTGTTATCAGAAAGTGTCAGCAGCATGTCTGAAATTGGTAACTTTATAATTTAATTGTGGTGCGTTAAATAAGTGTGACAGGTGTCCATGAAATAGTGGTGTCTGTCATGTTTCTACCATGGATAGAGCTCCTTAGAAAAGTCTCTGCTTCTTAGTTCTGTACTAAAAATGTGGTTAACCTGATGTCAGTACACCTGTGTAGTTAACCAAATAGGGGAATGGTTCATATAGAATCAAAAGGTTTTAGGATATGGAAGAACTAGGGTATCCCTGTGCAAAGTACGCTTTTTTTCACTATGGTCAAAATGTTTATTGTGGTTAGAATATTTACTGTAGTTATCATGTTTACTGATAAACGTAAGCATGGTTAACATATTTGTTGGGGTTAAGAATTAAAATGTAAATGGATAGATTTACCATGGGTAAAAATTTTAAATATAACTAGTAATATAAACCGTTGGTCTTAGTGATATAGATCGTTCTGCTTTATGTAAGTAGGACAATCTGTTTTATTAATGTTAAGAGTTGTTATTTTTATGTTTATATTTATGTAGGGTAATATTGTAATTACTCACGATAGGGTTCGATATAAATAAGAGAGTGTTGGGAAACACTACTCACATTACAGATTATTCTCTAAATCTGTTTTCTCTTTCCTTCTCCTCGTCTCGTCTCTTCTCTTCTCTTCTCTTCTCTTCTTACAAACAATAATACCTACCGCTTCTACAATTTTAACTTGGTATCAAATCATTGATCTAAGACAAATATTTATCAAAAATATATCAGAAAACTTGAGGGAACAAACGAGACAGGTTCACCTGTTGACGTCAACATGATGTCAGCACCGTCTGACAACCAGAACTCAAGTCCAAGGTCGACTCATTGTGTTGGTTTTAATGGTAATTTTTGCCAATTTTGTTGAAGACAGACTTTTCTATTTTTGAATATTTTTGGAGAAAAATGGTGTTTTTTCAGATCTAGAAATTTCAAACATCTTCTCCAATTTGACCTTGAGGAGAGTTTGAGGAGTTGCACCTGTTGTGGGGATCAAGTTTGGACATGATTTTGGTCCAAGAGAGGTGCCGATTTGCCAGTTTATGGTCTGAACAGTACTGAAACTGTTCCACCTTACTGCGATTTGTTATTTTTCAGCCTTCTGTGTTGTTTTTGACTCCACCGGTGGGGTTAGGTCTGCTGGGTGTTAATGGTTTGCTCCAATAGTCTTGGGTTGTCTCTGTTTGGCTGGTTTTCAGTACTGGTTGCTGTTTTTTGCTTCTCTGCGTAGCTGGGTTTGTATGATTGTGGTTGTTTTTGGGGTCTTTTTGGAGCTTGAACACACTCTGCTGTGATAATTTTTGGCATTTCGGTGGAGCTTCAGCAAGACTTCAATTTATCAACAAACGGATAATCACTCGATGACACAAGAATTAATACAATAATTTACAGAGCATAAATACATTGAACATGTCAACGAACCAGAAATTTGAATATACTTGGGTCCGTACCGACCACGCACTAGGCATCACTCAGTGCATTTTATTTGTTCACATACGCCTCTCTAGGCCACAATCACATATCACATCCATAAACCATACCCTGAGCATGCGTAATGCATGTGTCGATAAATTCCCAAATATTTGACCAAAACCAAGATTACAACAATCCACGATACATCAATCAAAATGCACGACGGAATATGAAAATACCAACAATTGATCGGAATAATATATCGAAACTCAAAATCAAACTATACCACAATTCGAACACGATTAGGACAATATCAATGAAATAATCTTTTCAAAGAGATTAATTCAAGAATATACATTATGCATAAACCACTTACATAATTCTTAATTTGATGCTAATAGATAGCATCTTCATTTTCTCAAAAGCATCATACTTGAATTGGAATCAAAATCACCATTCGATGCTCTACTCCAAGCCTCACCAATTCTCGTTGGCCTTCACACTTGTTTTTTCTTCTTTTCCTTATTCTTTTTATTCTTATCTTCTCACCACTCCCTCTCTCTTTTAATCCGCTGCCCCTCCTTCCTTTTGATATTTCTTCTTTTGCTTCTCTTAGTCACCACCTTAAGTTGTGAATTAGGGGACACATTAATATTCCTATGCAACTTAGGATTGTTTTTGTGCTTACACCATATGCTTTGTTTTATTTTTTTCAAAGGTTACCACCTTGCTTTAATATCTAGTGTACACGTTGACATCCAAAAAGCAAGAGTTGAGCATTTTTTTTTCTCTTTCCATCACCACCTTTCTCTTTGTGTTTATTATTTTATTAGTTTTGTATTTTTTAATTATTTTCACCCATAATATTACACATTATTATAGATCACCAGCTTCTAAAACTTATGCAAATCACGTTATACATATATGTTACCTACTCAATGTCAATTCTGTTTAATTTATACTATTTTTTTCTTTCCTCTATAAATTTTGGTCACAATAAAATTTGTAAATAATCAATTGTTTCACAATTAATCCTAACTTATAATTTAACCCCACATAACTTTCTAATAATTTTCAACAATATCACGAGATCTATAAAATTTTAATAATTTAATTATTTTCTAGTTGAGACTTGGTTGTCACAATAGCGCTATTACTAATGGCGTTTGTGAGCTTATGTGGCTTCAGAGTTTGATACAAGACCTAAGAATTTTGATTGATGGGTCTGTGAAGTTGTATTGTGACAATAAGGCTGTAATTGATATTACTCAAAATTCAATTTAGTATGACAGAACCCAACATATTGGGATTGACAGACATTTCATCAAAGAAAAACTAATAAGGGGGTGATTTGAATACCTTTTGTGTAATCAAAAGACCAATTGGTGGTTGTTTTAATTAAAGGACTTAGTAGTAAAAATTTGCTTCCCATTGTTTGTAATTTGGGCATAAGAGATGTCTATGCTCCAAAGGGGGAATGTTAAGATATGTCTTGTAGCTATGAGGAGTATTTATGTACTTGCAGTCCCACTATTATATATACATGGGACTAAGGGAGATAACTCTAATATGATTTTTGGGGTTTTCTCTCAACTGTCACTACATTCATTCAAACTTTATCTTCCTCTCTACTTCTCCTTTTTTCTCTCTCCATATCTTAACATTATTTGATGTGGGATACAAGCTCTCTTAAGAAATAGGACCAGTAGGAATTATGTGCATCCTCGCAAGGACCAAGGCATCTACTATCCTTTACCATCAATAGGATTAGGAATTCTATGCGTCCTTGCAAGGACCATGACATCTACTATCTGTTTCATCAATAGTGCGCAATCAAGTTTTCTAGACCCGTCTAATGCAAAAGAATGTGGTTTTTTGAAACAGATTAAATACCGAATTATAGAAGATCGAGATTTGAAAAAACCATGTTTTCGTATGAAGATAAGATCAAAAACTTTGATTTATGAATCTAGTTTAAAATAAGTTTAGGGTTTCACCCTCAAAACATCAAATTTGTATAAACAAAATTTTATTGTAAAAATCCCGATTTAACCCATGAAATATGAAAAGAGAAGTTTTAATACTCCTATAATCAAAATAGATTTGATACAGTATCCCAAAAAACACATGAAATGCATCAATGAAAGTGAACGAGAAAAGAGACTTTACCTTCGCTCGGTTGCTATTTAGATCGACACCGGGCGCTATCAAAGTGAAATATACACAATATTCTTAGATCCTTCATATAATTAGGTTGTTAGATCCTAATTAAACTAAGAATATTCTTAGATTTTAAAAATCAAAAGCTACGATGTCCAAACTCGGTCTGAAATCGAGTAGACCAATGGAAAATAGAACTATATTTGAACGAATTCGAAATTAGGCAAAGTCCAACTTGATGGAAATCCTTGAAGAGAGAAGTATTTTGGTCCAAACCACACCCCAGGATTGTTTCGCGCGTCGTTGGGGTGGCTTGGGTTGAAACCACTATTCATCATTTTGACCCAAAAATTCACCCTCTATTTTTTTTCGATTTCTCTGTCATTTCTCAACCATTTTGAGGGATTCCGAAGCCATATTCTAGCTCTTGGGATCCTCAAATCCAACACCAAAAACGAATTCCTTGGCCACTAAAAACCTCAAGAATGACCCTCCTTATGAATCACAACCCAAAATCAAGAAAACCAGAAACCCAAGTAATTTTAGGGTTTCTTGGTTTCGTCCACTTTCAACCACTCAAACTCGAAACTAAAGACAGAAAAACAATCTTAGAGTTTCCAAAAACCATACCAATCCTTCTTGATCGAATTCATGCCTTGAAATGATTAGAATCCCAACTTTCCTTCACTTTCTCTCTCTACGATTCTCCTTGAGTCATTGTTTTGTGCTTTAAACCAATTGCCCAAGCTCTTTTTTTACAGATCAAACAACCTTGGGGACCAAGGTTTGTCCATGGATAAGGATCTCCATGAGGAAGACACCTCCTTCTTAGGTTTTTTTTTTTTTTTGCAGTTACCCAATTTCATTTTTTTTAAATCTGATTTATTCATTTGGTCATGTATTACAGACATTGTTTTGGTAGCATCGTTTTATCCTTTTGGTCATGTACTACAGGCATCAATATTGGTAACTATAAGTTGGCCCCTGGTTGATGTTCTTGAAGATTAACAATATGAAGGTTGACAAAAAGGAGCCAACTTTGTAAGAGAAATATTTTAGATTTTTGTCCTTGAAAAATGCAGTCTCATAAATAGGCATGTACAATATCCCATTTTGTCAGGACAAGAATTTGGTAATTGATGAGACATTACAGTATTTATGATTATGGCAGTTGCCACTGCCATAACTTTGGAGTGGAAACATGGTGTGTTGTGTGTGGAGTATAGGCGATATATTGTACTGTCTTGTATATCATGGATATATTTTCTCATTGCAGGATAGTTTTCTTGTCTTGTGAACCTTTGCTTGTGTATGCAGAGAAGCTAGAGTTAGAGGGCTGGTGCAAGTATTACTTATACTCATCTCTAAAGAACTGGGACTGCAGAAGCTTAGCCTAGCCAGTTGATACTTTGAAGAATGCTGCTATCTAACCAGACATTCTCTGTTGAGTTCTCCAACTTCTATCAATGCATATGAGTTATAGGTGAGAAATTTTTCTGCTCTTCTTTGAATGTTCAGTGATTTATTATAGAGGTGTTTTATACATTAAAGAGAGAAAAAATGTCTTGCTTTGTTGTACTAATGAAACTTACGTCAGGGTGTTTATCATAATCCAGTCTAAAGTTCCTCAATTCTTTTGGTCTGCAACTTTAGATGTGGATAGAGTTCTTTGCAGGGTTCCTCAACTTTGGGCTAAATTGTGCTGTAAAGGGGGTTGTTGAACTAGCTCCATCCCTCCGCTATAAGTGGAGTTTTATTTCACATAAACAGATTTGCTAAAAGTTACTCTACCCAATTTGATCTTCATTTGTGTTTTTTGTTTTTGGACTTTTTTGTCACATCCAACACAATTCCCCAAAAGAGAGTTGTAAAACTAACCAAATTACTCGAGCTAGGCTCATGTTTGCTTGGTTGGAGGCTTGCTTGACATCGACTCATAGAAGATGATACAACATCAGAAGATAATTTAGCATCTGAAGAACTGGCAGACGATGAAGTATTTGTAGCAGGCTGAATGATTGATAATTTTTGATGGGTCTCCAAGAAAAAGAGAAGAGAAAGCTAGTAAGGGGGTGAGAAGGAAATCTGCTTTAGTATAAGACTAGGGTACCCCGTACATTTACTGTAATTAGACTCTTAAGTGAGTAGATTTACTATGGTTAAAATATCAATTTTAAGATAACATGTTCGATCGTAACTTTGAATGATTTGTGCCGTTGTTTTGCTTTATATTTTCAAAAGCTATGTTTTATTGTATAAATAAACAAGCCAAGCTTGAACACGAGCTTGGTCCAAACCCTGTATGAAGTTAACAAGACTCCTGCATATTGCCACTTTATAAGCGGCTAGTGATAGCTTTTTCTTTTAAAAAACAGTGTTAACCTGTTTGTTTCTGGTTATTGGTGCTTAGAATAAGGATGATTAATAGAGTTTCGGAAGCTGGCACGAAACCAAAAGGAAAAACAATTTCGAGGATATGTCTAGAGAGTAAGAAGTTACCTGAAACGTATGGATATATCTGTGAAGAGACCGTTGAAAGCATGTTTGAGTTTTGAAGGGAAGTTCATCTTATACAGTTTACTTTCAACAGAATTTGAAAGAAAAATTTCATTCTCTAAAAGTTGGTGGAAGCAGAACATTAAGGTAGAGTCTAATATTGTTTTTCGGATAGTTTTGTTGATTTAAGTAGTTTTTTTCAAGCAGCGTTTCTTATGTTTTTTGCTTTTTGTTCTGATCCAGGTCTATTTATTTAGATTACTAGATTGCAGGTGTATCACTTTGTTTAAATGGTAATCAACTTTTTGTTTTTTTTGTTCACTTCTAGAAGTTGTAATTACCAAAAATGGTACATAAGTCTTTTCTTTCCATTTTTAAGTTCAAAATGAAGGAAAAGAAATGAACAGTGCGCTTCATGTTTGTTCAAAACCTACGATGGCTTTTATTCCTTTTTATATACAATAGCTATTCAATTGAAATTAACATAGTTTTGTCTCAATATTTTTGGAGTTGGTTACGTTGTTTTATTACTGTTGTGTTGCATTGAGTTCATTTTACTATTAAATTATAAGTTTCGTTTAAAATTAAATATATAGTCTTCTCACTTACTGTCAATAGCTATTGTATCATTCTCTGTCATTGAAGGCGCCATAGATTGTATATAGATATGTCTAAATTATCTATGGCGATTTTTCTTTAATTTATCTCCTATATGTTCTTTCCGTCAAATTTAACTTTTAAATACGTTGTTGTTCGACACTTAATACCATAAAAGCATAATAGATATTATGGTCATTATGTAGAATTTTACTTTTAGCTTAAGGGGTATGTTTCTATCATATAATACAACGCATGCATTTCTCTATTTAGTCCATCATGTATTAATTATATGGGTAACACCGTCATTAATCTCACTTTTTATGAGTAATGAACTCTAAATATTTAAAGTGCTCACTCACTCTTCTACATCTCTTGATCTTTAATTTTTGTTACTTCCTGATCTTGATTCATTCTTTTATAAATAAGTCCTACATGTTATAAATCTTTTTTTATTTTAGAGTTTTTTGTCATATTTCTAGTTTATTGTTTATTTTTCTTTACTTTCATCAATTAATATAATATCATCTGCAAATACTATACACTATGCAAGCTGAATGTGTCTAGTCAATTCAACTATAATCAACGCAAAAAGATATAGACTTCAAGCAAAGCTAGATGTAAGCTTACCGTAATTACAAATTCATATTCTTTCATTTCGTTGGCTCACTAAGGTCTTCACACATATCTTTCATCATATCTTATATATCAAATAGTAATATTTTTCTTCTTTATAATGTATCTTTAGGAACTCTATCATATGTTTTTCCTAAGTCTAGAAAGCCTATTTTTCTCCCCTAAACCTCTCCATTAGTCTTCAAAGTATATAACTTCCATTGTTTATCTCACAAACATAAATTCCTGATTTTTAAAAACTGTTATTTCAAACTTTAATTTTTGCTCAATCACTCTCTCAAAGTTTCATGTTATGATTCATTAACTTACTACCTCGATAGTTTATTTAATTTTGTATGTCTCTCTTATTCTTTTAGAGAGGCACTAAAATATATTTTCCTTCACTCATTGGGCATTTTGTTGGTCATTATAATTTTATTAAATAATATAGGTAACCACGATACCCAACATTCTGTAGACATTTTCAAACTTCAATAGATATACCATTATGTTCTAAAATTTTTCTTATTTTTATTTTTTTAATGTGTCATTTACCTCCGATATCCCAACCTTACGAAGAAAAAAAAATGTATTTTTTAAGTCTCCGTATGATTTCTGATGTCTAAATTCAATGTATGAGAAGTCTAAAACGTTAGTTCATGGCAATAAATTGGCTTTTCTAGTTAGATTAATTTATTTTGGTTGTATTTGTTAAAGGAAGCCTCAAACAAATATTAGTTTAATATTGGGGGCTACAAAAAAAAAAAATTAATTAATTAATCTCATAGAGATCATTGAACAAGTACGGGACAACCGTGAATGCAAGAAAAATGACTTAGATGCCTAGCTTTGGAACATAGTTTCAAGTTGATAATTGGAACATACTCAGAATTTGACAACAATTCTCATTTATAAAAATTTTTGAGCAAGACGATTCTATCTACGGGTAGAAAAGATTCTCAAGTCAAATAAAAGAAAGAAGTCATCAAATTCGTAAAATAACGTTGGAATTAATTAAGACTGTGACACCAGGCAGATTTTAGGGAGTGAATTTAACCTATTGCAAGAATAACATCATCTCCTTCACCCATGTTTTTCACTCTTAACTTTTGCCTCAACTTCCGGACCCAAACCCGAATGATTCTGACTGAATTAAGGTCATTTGATGTCATATCGAAACGTATGAAAAGGGAAGAAACCAAAATGATTTAGAAAGAACATTTCGAAAAATGTTATATAACTCAAATGAAACTTAAATGTTATAACTCAAATGAAATTTAAATGTTATAAATGTCATTCATTTGGATGACTTGTTAGATGAGTGAGTTCCACTAAAAAAGTTGATAGGATTCACTCATCTAAGATATTATATGCATTTGAATTGTAATTTTTTGTATTCTATTTGAATTATATAGTATTACTCATCTTGAACAACATTATTGATGATGCATAAATTGGTCTTATGTAAGATCAACAGTCGAATATGTGAAGAGGTGTAATTAATGGACAATCAATGGCAAAACAGTAAATATCGAGTCAACACATAGATATATAGTGGTTCGATTCGAGTGGCCTATTCCACTCTCGGGAAACAGCAGCAATGGTCGGCGAGAGCTCCAAGAGATATATGCTCCGGGAAAGACACAATAGCTTAGAAGAGAGAAGTTATGTGTATAGATGTAAAGAGGTGCCAAAGTGTGTTGGGAGATGTGTCTCTCCATATGGAGAAAACTTACAATTTATAAGTATCGTGAGACAATGATGTGAGGCGGTAACTTGAGTGTGAGGGCACTGCTTCTTCAGAGAGGATAGTTATAAAAAGCAAGTACAATTAAGTAGGATTGATTTTCGTGAGTGCGTATCCTGATAATCTCTATCTCACGTGTTCCTATCTTTTGGGGGCTCCTTGAATCTTGGAGTGGGTTGGATTGATAAAGCAGGCTTGAGTTACCTTCTAACTGACTTAAGCTTGCTTGTTTAATTGGGTTTGGCCCAACTAGATTTGGGCTCGTCAACTATGACTCAATTGTACGATTTAGTCACTAGCATAAATTAGGAGTTGACTTAATCAATCATTATTATTGGATTAATAGTAGAACTCAGTACTATTTGCAACTTGCAAAAAATCTAATAGTTGTGATGAATTAGACTAACAAATTAGATCAACACATGTAAATAGTGTTATTATGTCAAAAACAATACTCGAAAAGTAATTTTCATATTAAGTTACTTGTATTGTTATTTCTAGTGAAAAAAAGTCCAACATCTCAAGGTTGAAGTTTCTCCAGCATGATGTCTTTGAAGCGTTGTAAGTGGTGGATGTGATTGCCAAACTTCCCTGAAATTGGGATGAAAGAAGAAACTTGTGCACATGTACAACAATGGTTCATTGACAATTGATCACTTGCTTATTCTGAGGGTTGACATAATGGCCAACATCTTGTTTTAAATCTGAAATCGTCGAAAACTAGCATGCGCAAGCAAATTTAGATCCTTCCTTTGAATGTGGACCAAAATGGCTTCAATCACACAGTAATAATAATTGTGCTCACTATAATTCGATTACATTGTCTTATCTCTAGTCGACACACAATCTCATTAACATGAGTTTAGACAAATGATTACATTTAATTTGATTAATGTGAGTTCAAATGAATCTTACTCACACAATTCTTGTGAATCAAAATTC